CAGCAGCTGCAAACCAAAAGAAAGAAACATCTGAGTGATAAAAAAAAAAAAAAAAAACCTTTATTTTAATCTCACTTTTTGCTTTATCTCCATCTCGGCGTCTGACTCTTCCAGCCAGCGGTCAAAATCCGGTGCCAGGAAGACCGGTTTACGCTCCTGTACAGTCAGCCTTTCCCACCAGCCTCGCTGTTGTTTCCTCACTGTGATGTTTACCTGCCGCTGCGTGGACTTGTTTCTCACCTGCGATAAATTGACGTCATAACCGTCAAAAACTGAAACAGGTATCGTAAGAAAGAGGTCAAATTAGAAATGTGTACCTCAGGCTTTACTGGAAAAAGAAACTCCAAGCTGAACTCGTATTCATTTTGTCCTTTTGCACCACGCCCCTGGGCTATGCAAGAGATACAAGAAAGAGAGTCACAAATGATTGTTTTAACATACTTGCACGTCTAAATATGCAGAAAATCAACAAATTTGTCTCACCTCTAAAATGAAAGGTATTTTCATGCACTTGGACATCAATATGCTGCAGAAAGAAGAGGAGAGAGGCCAGGCAGTGAGCACACTTCCTCTTTCTGAATGAGAATTTTAGCATCAATTTGCTTTTATTGCTGTACAGAATGTTATTAAGTACAAACCATGTACATAACCAAATATGTCAAACCACAAAATGACAAGTTAAACTTACCTTAATGATTTACAATCCAAAAAAACATTATATTTAAAGTCATGATGTTCTTCTTTAACGAAACTGTTCAGGAAACGCCTTTTTTTTTTTCACACAGTGCCCTCCCCGGAACTACACTGCATTACTGTNTACCAAAATGTATTATTTATATGAGTATACAAGATATTGTCATTCTGGGCTCATTTAAACCTCAACAAAACTCACATTCAGATTTTTTAAAGTATATTAGCTCAATGTTTGGACATTTTGGATAATTTTCCATCTGAGTGCTCATGCTGTGATCCTCTCTCTCTCTCTCTCTCTCTCTCTCTCTCTCTCTCTCTCTCTCTCTCTTAATTTTTTAAAAAAAAATTAGTTGTTTGAGTTGTTGAGGTTTTTATTGTCTTGGTCATTCTGTATAATGTGGTTCTCTTCATCTTGGTTTAAACAGAGCTGATCACTTTTCAACACCAAACTCCCACTTTGATAATTTTAGGATCACTGTGGTAAAGTTGGTATTTAAGATTTGTGCATTTTTGTAATCTCACTGTCATCATTCATTCTTTATGTTTTTTTCCTCTACATTTTACTTTTTAATCACATTTTCTGGATGAAACTAAATGAAGCTCTCTGATGCCCTGGTGATGCCTTCACTGACCATCCTGTCACCGTTATTTTCACAACTTCCTGTTGAAGGTGCGTATTGCAGTAAATAAAAGGAAAAGAAAAGAAAAACCACATGTGTGCAAATGTTTCCACACCTCAGTCCTTCGGTCCCAGCTGGCAGCGGCGTCACCAGTGACGTCAGTCAGGGTTGTAATCGGTCACGTGGGCAGCGCAGCTCTGGGATAAAACGCTCCTCAGGTCTGCGCCGTCTGTTTGGCTCCTCACAGACACCGACCTTTCATTTCTGTGCTGATCTAACAGGGAGAGGCAGCGGCTGGATGAGAATAAACATAAACAGTGAGGAATAAATCTGGACTCGACGGATCATATTTCCATCTTCGTGATGTGAGTAAAATTCTCTTATTGGAAAATGGTATCAATTAAATGACGCTTGTTATTTCATAAAATGAAATCTCGATGGGTTCAACTCGATGTTTTACAATACTGTGAAAAAAAATGTCGGAATGTTGGTTTTGGATGAATAAGGTGCAAAAAGCTTTATTTTAGTGAGCGTCGCTTTCTGTGCGCTCATTGGCTGCATTGTACCCGAGGCCTGTTTTTATTGCATCCTCTGTCTGATGCTCCGTGACACCTTTTAAGACCCCGTTTGTGAGGTTTATTTTATTTATTTATTTTTATCATGTATCATTCATTTACTGCACATCTGATCCATGCAGCTTCATCCTGCATGGGTCTGCTGTTTCTGCTCTGTTTCTCTTTGGGCGTGTGTGGTCTCTTCATCTTGCAAGCATACACACTTACACACACACATAACCCCCCTGGTATGCACGAGCAATGCAAATGGTTGATGGTGAGGGTCAGACTGGCTGAAAGGGAACAGACGCAGAGTCTATTAAATGTTGTGGTGGTTCCCCCTCAGGTCACCCCCTCCTCCTGTTGTTGACACAGCCTCCTAATCCCTACAGCCTGACCGACTGWCTGTCCAGCAGCCTCTGGCTTCACAAAGTCACAGTGATACAGATTTTAGAGGTTAAAACGCTTGATCCACATAATGTTTGCAAGGATGTCCCAAGAAGTAACAGCAAAAACAACTGTTTTTTTGTTAAACTGATCAGCTGCTGTTAAATTGTGAATATATGTATATTGTTTTTATTAAGAAATTGTCACATAAYGATGCTGATCTTGTTCATCTCTGGAAAAGAAAGTGATTTAATTTTATRTAAACAACAAAAATGTACCTTACTTGCATAAAAGCTGTAACAAAAATACATTTTCCAACTGAGTAAACAACCCCGTCCTCTAAYATCCAGTGTTAATCCCGATTTGTTGAAATAACCTGAGTGAGATCTAGTCTCTGACATCATTGAGGAAAGTTGAGGGGATTCCTGCATGAACAGCCTGTTTCAAATCATCTCAGTGAGATAAATTTCTTTGTTTTCAGCCAGTTCTTGATGGACTAACTTGTATAGTTTGGGTATACTGTTGCAGCATCCTGCTTTAATTTCTTCTACAGATGGTCTTGTGTTCCTCTGATACACAATATTCATGGTAGATTCAGTGAGCTGGTCAAGCCTTTTTGCTGCAAAGTGCCCACCTGAACAACGACCCTTCCACCTCCGTGTTTCACAGGACAAACATGAGGTTCTTTGGTTAACGCCAAATGTGCATTCTGTTGGCATCCAAATAACTCAGTGATTAATTGGTTCAAAGAATATTATTTTTTAGAAGTTCTTTGTTGTCTATAATCTCTGACAAACTCCAGTCTGAGATTTTTAGCCAGCAGAGGTTTCCTCTTTGCGCAGCTACAATGAAAGTTTGTGTGACCGTGGAGGCATGCTCTTTCACATCCACAGTATGCTGCCGTCGGTCACGTGAAGTCGTAGGGTTTTTGGAGATCACTTTTGGTTTCTTGCGGTCTGCTCCTTTGGTGAATGGGCTCGGGCAGGCAGGCGTGTTGGCTTTTGTTTTGACTCTGCCCCACTTGAAACCTATTAGTGGAATAGCTCATTCCAAAATGCTTGGGATCTTTATAAATCACATACCAGAGTCATAGGCTACTGTAAATGTTGAGGTGTACTAATTTATTTCACACCAAAAGCTAAGTTTTACAACAAAAATTGCTTTGCAGAAAAATTTCATGTCATTTCTTCAGTTTGAATTGTTTAGTTATGTGACTTGAATCTTTCTGTATTGTTAAAATAGTTATTTATTTTACAGCTGGGTTAAACAACAAGAAGAGATAAATACAGTACATAGTATTGTAGAGAGAGATAGATAGATAGATAGATAGAATTTTTCAAAATAAATGTGCGTTTCTGTCACTGGAAAGTACTATATTTCAGTCTGACGCTGTCAAATTGGAGAAATCTTAGATAAGCTTCCTTAACAAGAAAATCTGCACTGATGAAAGACACACACACAAGTGTGGCACAAGTGTGGGAGACGTTGCGGCCAAGATAACAGTTAGAGATGACTCATGAACACAGTGTTGGGTGCGAATGGGGAAGTCGGTCTGAAGAAGAGGAAATCCGCCATGTCCTTATTTGTAGCGTTATTGTTATTATGAAAAAAAATGTGTGTAATGAAACGATGGCAGATCTTGCCGAGCCCATGAGTCATCCGCTTCGCTGCGAACACAGGAATGCCCACATTAAGTAATAAATAAATGAGATTGAAAAGTGACTCTGCGATTTAAAAGAGTGGTTCTGCCACTCAGGAGGTCACAGGGAGTTAGACACAATAAGATCAGTCCAAGTTACGACAAATATGACACAAAAAGCAGCATGTGACACTTAGCGAACTGCTAAATGTAAATCTTTTTTAAGTGGGGATCTGTGAAATTATTAAGAGCAAATAATATAAAAGCCCTCTGGTCGAATTGACCTGCTGGACCCTTGTTTTGACCCAAGGGCAGCAGCAGGGAATTTCTGAYTTCAGGAGATGTTTTACTTAATTTTTTTCAAATTAATTCCCAAATTTTATTATTCTAATAAGGATAGAACATGCCATAATTATTCATATAGAACCCCACTTCAAAAGATCCAAACTAGCTGCTGGAATTAATTATAAATTTATAATCATGATTACAAAAATCAATGATGGTTTATTTTTTTAATGAAAAGAGAGGATTCCATGGTTTTTGTAACATACAGAAGCATACTGACCCAGACCGAAATGGTTTAAGATTTGAATTTCTTTTTTTTCTTTTTAAGAAAGAATACAATACTTCCTCAGCAGTTACATAAGCAGAATAATGTTTGCAGCGCGCAGCATCAGAGGGAGAAATACTCCATCTGCACTTCTCTGCTCCGTTTTAATTCTGTTGCTATGGAGAGGATTAGATATAATTTTAGTCTTCTGCTTTCTGCTGAGAGGGAGGGATAGGCGCTCTGGATGTCTTCGTCACTGAAACCAGAGATTAAATCTACATTTTAATCCACAACCATCCAGGTATTATATGACACATCTGTCCTTCTGTGGCAATCATGAGATAACATCTCTGTCTCCAACAGGTACTTTTACAGAGGCTCAGGTGTTACGTCACAGTAAGGAAGTGAATCTGACAAACAGAACAGTTGTAAGGATTATTTTTTTAWTATGATTGTCTGCACTGATTAGGGCGATGTTTTCTTCAAATATACTGTGTGAAACAAGCTTTTGTATTTAAAACTGCAAGCAAACTTTCTGAGTGATGTAATGTCTGAGATAAACACAATCCTGTTTCCACAAAGTGTAAGACTTTGTGAAAAGTAACTCAAAACAGAAAGCAATTTATATCCTACATTAATAAAAAAATTATAATGCGTACAAAGGAAAAGGTAATTCTGACAACTGTTTTATTGTTCGGAAATTTGCAAATCTGTAAGCAAACCACGTCTCAGAAGAACAAAGAACCGAAGCAGTTTTTTTAGTTTTATAATGTCCTGAATGTGAGGAAATACATACAAGGGGACCTAGCTTGTCTGATTGAAATTATTGTGGTTTTTACAATGACTGGAAATTTCATTTATTTAGAAAAAGCATTTTGAATTTCATAAAAGGCACCAAACTGAAGGGATGAACCAATCATGTTTCTGTAGACAGTACCTAGTGGGAATGCTAATTTTAGAATATGTTTTCAACNGCATGAATAAATAAATAAATAAATAAATAAATAAATAAATAAATAAATAAATTTAAAAAGCCAATCATAAACTTTCTTTTCTAATTTTCTGCAAATAGCACAGTTTCATGGGCCTAAATTAATTTGCAAAAACAAGGCGAAGTGTAAAGGTTGTCTTGATTTGTTTGATTATGCAACTAAAAAGAACATTAAAAATTGTTACAAGGACTTGTGTGAAATTTAGGAAATGCATAAAATTTGAAATATATTTACTGAAAAGCAGTCAGCATTAAAAGGCAAATGCCTTCAAAATGTTTGGTGAATTATTTTTTAAGATCATTTTCAAAAATTCTCTTCGAAACAAACCACAGTTTCTAAAAACCTTTTGCATCTTGCAAAATGATGGAGATATTTCTCAATTCCTTGAGTCTTTCATGCTTTGATAAAAGACAACCAAGTTGTCAGCAGCGCAACAGAAAAATAAGGCTTCTTATTAATCAGAAGGACTCACAATTTGTTGCATTTTGATTTATTTAGTTTTTAAAGCTAAGTTGTAGAGTTGGTAATGCTCATTAAATCCATTTTGAAAATCAGCCTTAGAAAATAAAATCCTAAGTAATTTTCTGATGACTGTTTTATGTGTCGTCATGTAATAAACCCTATATTTATAGGATTTATTCAGAATCGTCATAATCCTAAACACTGGAGATTATATAGTTTGTTAAAAAGAGCCAGTGTCTGGAGCTTAACGCTGATGAGTCATGATTCATAAAATAACTCTTTCCGGTTTGCAGTGAACAGGTTATGAAACACCAAATGTGCAGGGCTGAATGATGGTATGAATTAGAAAAGTCTAAATGGTGGAGGAGTTTTGCCAGACTGGTTTTAAACTGGTGAATTGTTCTTGTCTCCTGAACAGACTGTGGAAATGTCTGGGTGTCCTCATCTTGATCAAGTCCAYCTTCTAACCTGGATGTGACGAGAAGCTGTAGCGTCTCACATCTACTGCAGGTTCACAGCTGCCTTCTAAAATATATAAACCTTTTTTTTAATAGGAAAAGCAGCTGAGATATTCTCATTTACAGTGACGACCTGGTCAAAAAGCAGCAACACAACACAAAATGTCAGAGAACAATAATAAAACTAAGGCACAACACAAATTGCAAAATTTGGAATTACATATTTATATAATTATAATTATATAAAATGAGGAATTGTCCCATATTTAAAACTAAAAGCCTTGTTCTTTAYTAGACTAATAATGCAAATCTGTTTGTAGATGTTAAATCAAACAGATGAAACAGTCTAATCAGAGCCGAAGAATATTCGTTTTCWTCAGGGAATAATATAATTGTAGCCACTAATATGTTGTTCAAGCTGCTTTTGTTCGTTTAATTAGAGAACTTAGAATTAGTAAATAGTTTAGTTTTTTATTTCAAACTCTAACKAGAGAAACTGCGTTTCTTGACATAAAACATAAGCTAAAAGCACAACAATAGCTAAAAGCAAAAAGTAGCAAGAGGCTAGCTAAAAAGTAAATTCTGGTAAGCAAAAAGCTGACAAAAGTAGCACAATGATAAATTAGAAGCTAAAACTAGAATCGAGCTAAAAGCAGCAAAAGTCTAATGAAAGGGTCAAAAACACTAGCTAAAAGCTAAAATAAAAGGCTAATGGGTACATTAGCAAGTGGTTAGCTAAAAATCAAAAGTAGCAAAAGGCTAGTAGTAAAACACTTACTAATAAACTGGAGTAGCTAAAGTGACCCATAGCAAATTCTGTCTGGCCCAGTTCTGGCCCACACAATGCACTTATAGTCCAAATACCCCAAAGAGAGATGGCCCTTTGGTTGTGGTTTGGCATAGGCCAGCACCATATAAACCAAACCACAACTGGGCCAGTTGTGGCAAGCCATCTTTAAAAAAAACCAGTGCCATCATGGCCCACAAACCACTTGCTGTGCCAGCAGTCAGCCTGCAGTGCACACCTGTCTGCTATGTGGGTGGTTCTTATTGTTTTAACTCTTCTGTCTTGAGCCTGTGTGTTTGTTTGGTAAATGTTCAGCTGCTGCGTTTGTTTTGCTGACATCATTCCTGGTAAGAACAGGGTCTCASAAAAATTAGCTTGGCAAAAAAATATATTCCCTCCCTATTCGCCACCCTGTTCAGCCAGTGTAATTCATTTTTACTTTCTAAAACTTGGCGACCCTTAAACTGCAGCGAGAAACAACCCAGGATCATTAGCTTTGGAACAAACAGACAACAAAGTCTTTCAGTAGGCGAGGCCTGGTTCCAGCTTTCTGTGCACCAGKGCTCCTAAAACTGGCCCATCGAGCACAGAGGAGGTGAAACACATTACACTAACTCCCATGTATCACAGTGATGGAAAAAATAAGCAGCTGTTTGTGAGTAAGTGTGGGGGAACTGCCAAACGAGATAAAGCAGGCTCTTCAGCTGAAGTAGAAAACGCTGGAACAGAGCTAAGAGGCTCCAGAGCTCTGTGCTTTGTGATAAAACCATAACAAGCGGATTCACAGGCGCTCCCGCTATTCCTTTCATTTATCACGAGATTGTTGAGCCCAGACTAAAAAGCTTTCTGAAGAAGCTACGAGTGCTAACAGCCTGTCTTCTTCATCTCACAGTTCTGTTTCTCCACAAAACACGCTTTTCGTTTCTTTCTTCTCAGAGGCATGCATTTTATTTTACATCATCGCTCATGGCRCATACTGCAGCAAGTTCACTGGTCTTAAATGTTCCCAGATTTCTTCTTGAAKTATTGTGTTTTGGAAGACAGGAATGCACGCTAAATGCTTCCAGATGCTCTCACTAATATGATGTTTTATTTTTCTTATGGGCACGTATTAAAATGAGTTGTTTACTTGCTTCATTTTGCCTCCTTTTCAAAACTTCATGAGTCTATTTCAGCACAAACTGACACATTTTTAGCCAACTTATTTAGACAAAACTCCTGCTTTTTGAAAGCTGGAAGCCTTTTTTCATATGGATAAAATGAATATTACCCCCTCCCCCTTTTCTATGATCTCCAGTGCAAAGTGTGGGAATGGGAAATGATGGAGGATAAAGGGCCTCGTGTAGCCGACTACTTTGTGGTTGCCGGCCTCACCGATTCGTCCAAGCCTCTGGAGGAGGACCTGCACTTTGATGATGCCGGCACCAAGTCTCTTAAACCCAAAGCCCCCATCACCGACGTTACTGTGGTGATACGCTCCCTCGGCGAGGAGGTGCCCCCGGGCTTCACCTGCGTGGAGAGCACCCCTTCAGGCCTCTCCGCTGAGCTGAACGGAGCCAGCCTCAGGGGCCCACAGATCTTCTTGTGCTACAAGAGAGGGAGAGATAAGCCTCCACTGACAGATCTCGGGTAAGAACTAATCCTCTCTTCCTTTTATTCACACAGCACCACTAATCACAGCTCCATCTCAGGTCACAGTAATCTGCTCTGAAACATATATCATATAACATATATCCTTTTTTTCCATGTTTTTTTAAATCAAAGCTTTCCAGGGCTCACATTTTCATAAAAACTTCTATTTCAGAATTCTGTACGAGTGGAAGGAGAAGCTGAAGCCTGGATGCCACATCGTCCAGACCACGCCCTCAGGTCGCCCCGCCAACATCAGCGGCTCCTCCTCTCAGCGCATCTACATCACCTACCGCCGTGCGCCGAAGAGCCAGCCCCACACCTCCCTGGCTGTCACCGATGTCTGCGTCATCATTCCTGGCAAGGGGGAGGTGCCCCCTCACACCTTCTGCAAGGTGGACAAGAACCTCAACAGCAGCATGGTGGGACGGAGCTCCAGAAATATCCACACGTACTGGAAATATTGCTCCAGATTGTTCCACTAATCTSTTCTGGTCTGTGATAACCTCTCTTCCAGTGGGGGTCCTCGGTCTACCTTTGCTATAAGAAGTCTCTAGCTAAAGCGAACACGATCGCATACAAAGCAGGTAAAAAAAAAAAGAATTAAGCTGCAAACATGTGACATTAATAAAGACATTAGGCTTGGGCGGTATGATGGTACTTTGGTATACCGCCGTACTTAAATGTGGTGAGGGTATTGACAAATTATGACGGTATTAGTTGCATGAAGTGAAGCGTCAAATTTCCACAAGGCTGCTATGAAAACACCCCTGTCCATCGCACCTTTTAAGGTTACAACAGAGCATTAGGGCCACAAAACGACATTTTTTTTAAATTATGAGAATAAAGTCATAATATTACAAATTTAAAGTCGTAATATTACGCGATTAAAGTCATAATATTATGAATTAAAAATTACAAACTTTACCGGCACAAAGACAGGCTAAATGTATGCAGCAGTGCGGATACAACTGTGGTAAGAGTCAGATTTTTTTGAAACCTACAATCCTAAAAAGACATACTTGACTGTATTTTGGTCTGTTTAACAAAATAAGAGACAAAGCCATTCTGTAACTTCTCCTTCTGCTGAGTTTTTCTTTTTTTCAACGCCTCTCTTTGGTTCTAGAATGTCAAGCAGCCATTTTTCTGTTTACTAATAATTACACAACACGCCCCAGACAATCCCCCTGGTAATATTGTATGCTGCTGTATTTTCTAAAGGTTATACCAGGGTATGAAAGTGATCGATACCACTCAACACTAAAAGACATAAATAGTATCTTTGTGTAAACTTTGACTGTGTTGTGTCCAGGTTTGCTTTGTAGGTACCCAGAGGAGGACTACGAGTCGTTCCCGCTGCCTGAGTCGGTGCCTATGTTCTGCCTCCCCATGGGGGCCATGATTGAGTGCTGGCCGGCTCACACCAAACACTCCCTGCCTGTTTTTTCTACGTTCGTCCTGACGGGAGCCTCCGGAGAAAAGGTACCGCCGCCTTTCTGCATCAGCGTTATCAAAAGCCACGTCCTTGTTGAACTTGCGTTCAGGTCAGAGGAATTCTCTTAAGGCTCTGATTAAGCTTCATGCACTTCATCATTAGTTAAGAAAATCCCCTGAAGATTGCACTCAGAGTACGCACATTCTGCCTTTATTGCCTCATTTCAGTTAGTTTATCCATCTTCATTTTCCAGTCTGTCTCTCAGTGCGTCTGGATCCCCTAATGGATTTGCTTGTTGATAAACTGCAGCAGTATCTCTTAAAAAATGGAGACAATATTAATCAAGTTCTAAACTCTGACTGGAATCAACTGACCATTCTGAAGGCTGTTTTTGGAATAATAAAAGCCTGTTAGCTCTTTGAAAGCAATGCAGCATAAAAGATGTATTTTTTTTTTTTGGGCAGCTCATCTTCTGAATAATAGATTCTTCTGCACCACTCAGGCTCAGGCTGGTGTGCAAGTTTGATTGCCTGAGTGCTCATTTCTTCTTTCCTGCAACCTCTTGTCTGCAGGCTGGTCCCATGGTACCTAAAACCCAGACAGATTTGTTCATTTATTTGGGAGAACAATCCTCAAACAACTAAGAAGGTTTTAGTATTTCGATGATGCAGAAAATTCACCTAAGTGATCACAACAGCATTTTTTTTGAATAATCTCTGGGTATTTTGGGGTTTGTCGGTTTTCAGAACCAATTTTCTTCACGATCGATATCCTTCTTTCTGAATATCATTGTGATATTTTTGTGTGCAGGTGTATGGAGCAGCTATCCAGTTTTATGAACCTTACCCCGAGGAGAACCTGTCGGAGCGTCAGCGCTCACAGCTCGGCCTGCCAAGCTCCGATTTCGGACCTGATGGGACCAGAAACGTTTACAACAACAAGAGCATATGCTTACTCTCCCATTGGCCTTTCTTCCAGTCCTTCAGGAGCTTTCTCACATTCCTCTACAGATATTCCATTTCTGGACCGCATGCAGTCCCAATTGAAAAGTTAGTTCATTTTAAGTTTTCATGTTATCTTTGTCTTAAGTGAAGCTTAAATACACTGGTTTAGAGTAAATGCTGTGAACATCTGATGTATTTTTGTTTGTTTTTCACAGGCACATCTCTCACTTCATGCAAAATGTTCCTTTTCCCTCCTGTCAGAGGCCACGCATCCTCGTGCAGGTCAGTTTAACGTTAGTAGAGTGAAGAAATAAGTTTAATTTTGGTCATTTTTAAGGTGACACTTGGTCAAACCAACCATAAAATCAGACAGAATGTAGAGTGTAGAGAGAAAGGCAGAAGTCTTCATCCAGGCTATACTAATGGGCAGCCAAAGGATAGCCACCTCCATCTTCTATTGCTTGTCCATAATTGGGTCTCAGAGGCAACAGACCTAGAAGAGAAACCCAGAAATTCCTCTCCTCAACAACACTCTCCAGACCCTCCTGGGGGACCCCAAAGTATTTGAAAGCCTGAGATGATCCATAATCCCTCCAGCGAGTCCTGGCTCTTCCCCAGGGCCTCACACCAGTGGGACAAACCCAGAACTCCTTCAAAGGGAGGTGTCCAGGAGGCCTCCTAAACAGATGCACAAACCACCTTAACTGACTCCTTTCGATGCAGAGGAGCAGTGACTCTACTCCGAGCTCCCCCCAACTGATGAGCTCCTCATCCTATCGCTAAAGCTGAGCCTGGCCACCCTATAAAGGAAGCTCATTTTGGCTGCTTGTGTCCATGATCTCTTTCTTTTGGTCATGATCCACCACCTCATGACCTTTGGTGAAGGTTGGAACGTAGACAGAACAGTAAATCAAGAGCTCTGCCTTTCGACTCAGCTTTGTCTTCACCAAAGCAACGCCTTCATTACTGAAGATGAGGCCCCAATCCGTCGATTCATCTCCTTCTCCATTCTGCCATCACATGTGAACAAGACATTTACTTAAACTCCTCCACTTGAGGCAAAAATGGCCTGTTGTTTTTTATAGCCTTTTTCACTCTTAAAAAATAACTCCTTTGCTAGAAAAGCATATTGTGAAAGAATAACAGCTAATTTCAAACCTCTGATCAGCACTTCTAGTCAGTTCGAACATTTACTCAGCTTCCAAAGAAATGATACTAGGGTCATATGATGGTCTGTGCTCAGCACATTTACGTTTGCGCAGTAACACGTACGTTGTTCAGTTGAAGAAACGGCAACAAACTAAATTAATAATGTCAAACAAGAGTGTAGAAGTTCAGTATTGGCTAATGCAACGTTCTTTCACAATATGTTATTTTTGAAAAAGAGTTGTTTTAAAAGCCTGAAAAACAATAAAAACAGGCCCTCGTTGAGTTAGCAGTTAACCTAGCCTGGATGATGTGCTCTATGACTGACGTCATGGCTGATAAGATACTAACCGTTGATCAACACCTGGCAGAACATCACAGCCAAACTATCTTTTTAACTCTTGTTTGGGTTGACAGAACGCTACAAGCTAAATGATCTGTTTGTCCTCCACAGTTGTCTCCACATGACAGCCTCATACTGAGCCAACCTGTGTCCTCTCCGCTGCCTCTTAGGTAAAAAAAAAAAGGCAAAAATGCATCACATCGATGCTTCATAAGAGTCTCTGCTGTCGTTCTAAAAGTGTGTTTTTTGTTGCTTTATGTGGATCAGCGGTGGGAGTCTCTCCACGTTACTACTGAACCTTGGCCCGAAAAACGCTGCCACTCTGCTTGTTTTGGCTGTCACAGAGCACAAGATCCTGGTTCATTCCCTGCGTCCGGCGGTGCTCACCAGTGTTACCGAAGCCCTCGTGTCTGTGAGTCTTTCAATCTTCTTTCAACCRATCAAATTTGTTCGTCTTTGTCATGATAACAGAGCCAATGGAAAATACTGTAGGTCTTTAATGTGATTGTTAGCAGTTTGATGGTTAAGGCAAGAGRTGTGGCTCCAACTTTATTAAAGTACTGTACATAAACCTATGTGAAAGTAAACCATTTAGGACACCAGTGCTGTTGGAGAAGCCCTTTAATAAAATAGCTTTCAGCCAAAACACTCAAATGTGAAGGGAAAGAAATGCGCAGACAAAGTATAAAAACCTAATCTTCTGATGATCCCCTCCTGCCTTTCAGATGATTTTTCCCTTCCACTGGCCGTGCCCGTACATCCCTYTGTGCCCGCTGGCCCTGGCAGACGTGCTCAGTGCGCCGTGCCCTTTTATCGTGGGTTTGGACTCCAGATACTTCGACCTCTATGTGCCTCCAGCTGATATTAGCTGTGTCGATYTGGACACCAACACTATCTCGCAGTAAGTTATCTCTGATAGAAGTCATCAAACAACTTCAGAGCACCAGAAATTGTTTTGCTGAGGTTTTATTATGTTGGTCTTGTCTGTGAGTTATTCCCCGAGGTTATCAGTATCTGTCAGTGAGAGCGTCTCTTACTTAATAGTTGTAGCTGGAATGTGAAATATTTTCAGTGTACAAGGCCTCTGCATCAACACTTTTGCAGAGATATTGAATTGTCAGGGCTGATGTCTGTGAACCTGTTTCAACCTTTTGTAATTTTTTTTCTCAACTGTCCTCCCTGTGACTAAATGAAAATCCTACTGTGTTTTTTCAGGAAAGATGACAAGAAGGCTTTAACGTGGAAAATCCTGCCCCGGAGAGCCTGTAAACATCTTCTGAATACCCTGAATAAGCTCCATCAGCAGCTCACCGAGGGTGAGTCCAGTCTGATGCTGTGTCATTCTCTAAAGTGCTTTTATGCATGATTTAGCTCGCTACAGGAGTCTGTTGAGTCAGCCTGGATGGATAATTTTATTGGAAAAGTGAGCTCATTATTACATTACAAGAGCATCTTCTGATTTTTTATTTTTATTTTTATTTTTTTGCTGAATCACCGGAGATTTTGTGATGATATGCATTTTTTTTAACCAAAGAAAGTTTGGACGTTAGTGAGATGCTGTGAGCAGAAGTGTTCCAAATCTTCCTATTAAGCTTTTTTTATACCATCATCAGTTGAAACTGTCTTCTCAGTTATTAGTGTGTCAAAACACAAAGCGAACTGTAACAATGGATCAGTGAGACAAAAAATTAAATAAAAAAAACAAAAATTACATAAAAAAACTAAAATTTAATAAATGCAGTGCTGGCCTACCTGGGTGTCTTACTGTTATTTTCCTGTTTATTGCTTTTTCCTTAAAGTTACAGTCTTTTCGTTTAGCAGATGGGAGCTACGACTTCTGTTTTTTGTAACTTTTATACTTCTCAAAATGTTCAATTTTATTTACAAATATTTTCTTCATAAAAATGCATGGAGAACTTTTCATTTTCTTCGAAACCATTTTTTACTTTGAAAATCTGCTTCAACATACTTACTGTTTTTGTCTTCCTATGCTACTTTTAGTTTGTATCTACTTTTTGCTACCTTCAGCTAGCTTTTTGGCTACTTTTAGCTTTACGCTAAAGTTTATTTCTTCGCAAAGATCATCCCATTATAAAAAAGGTAGTATCATAGCAATAAAAATCACTTCTGATGTGATATGTTTAGACAAAGCTAAACACTGTCTACAGATTTTTGTCTTCATAGTATTTTAGCTATTTTTTTTTTTAATTATACTTTGAAGATGTCTGTTTTCAGTTTCCAATTCATCCCCTGCTTTGCTCCCTCAGGCGGTCAGTTAAACCGCGATGATATGCAGATGGACCACACGATGACAGACGGCGAGCTCTATGGAGGAAAAAGCCTGCACACCCTGGAGCTGGAGATCCAGGAGGCCTTTCTGCGGTTCATGGCCGCCATCCTACGAGGCTACCGCTCCTATCTGCAGCCCATCACCCAAGCCCCATCTGAGAAGACGACTGACGTCGGCTCGCTTTTTGATCTACAAGGTAAGATTTTTTCCTCTTAAAACAGCATCTATAAATTGAATGAAGATGTGAAGAAAKGCTTTAACCATAAATGTAGTCAGGTTTGCAGTTGTGGATGAGTTTAACTTTGATAGCAATCAGACCATATTTTATTGGAACATCTGCTCAGAAACCTACTTTGTCTTCTGTTTATGCAATTGTGAAGATTATTGGTGAGTTATTGCTGTGATTTAGCTCTGTTGTGGTCTGAATGCTGCTCGACGCTTCAAAATATGCTCTAAATTAGTGCTTGTTATCTAACTTAAGCCTCAGTGGAAATTAGACTTGGATGACAAGTGGGTGAAGCAACATGATTAATAGCACAATGTCCCCGCACATCTGTGGGCTCTTATGCAAGCGGAGCAGCTAAGAACATCTCGTTTTTCGAAGCGCGGAGCTCATTTCCTAAAATAYCGGTTAAGTGTTCACACTGACCCAGTAAATATTTAGTCAGGGCCTGAAAAGTAAAAAGCTGTTGTTAATAAAAATGTCCACCTTTCAGATTTGTCAGTAAATACAGATAAATTGTTTTTCTCAGGCTTCGTGAAAAGCAGAGACCGCTCCCATCAGAGGTTTTACTCCCTCATGACCAAGACTCAGATGTTCAGTCGCTTCATAGAGGAGTGCTCCTTTGTTAGCGACAAAGATGCCAGCCTTGCTTTCTTTGACGAATGTGTCGATAAGGTGAGGATTGTAGGAAAATCTGTTTCTGTGGATTGATTTTTCTTTGTGTGTGTGTGTGTTTGTGTTGCATAAAATAGTTCTGCAGCAAAGGAACAAAATGTCAGACCTACAAACATTTTTTTTTAGTTTTACATAAACTAAAACACTTTCTTTCCTTCTCTTCGTGCTTCATTATTGCCTGGTAGTTGTTCACTACTGGAAGCAAGGTAAGCAGCCAAATCTTGTCATTTTAAAACTTCCCTGCTTCTGTGGTTTCCAGTTTTGTAAGGTTTTATAATCCAGTCCTGAATTTTATGAAATAGTTCCGTCGGTGCTTTGTTGTTGTTTCTCTTCGTTGATATTGTGTGGAACGTGGGCAAGTTTCTGCTCGGACACTAATTATTTGCAGATCTGAAAGGATTTACGAACAAAGCCTGTCAACATGTTTTGTTCCATGGATGTGATAAAAACAAGACAAAAATATCTGCCCTCCTCCATCGAAAAAATAATAATAAAAAAATGTTTGCGGTTACAAACTTGTGCAATCAGGAAGTCACATTTGCATCCAACAGGAACCGTTACACATCCTGTGTCAGCGGTCACGGCAGTCATTACTGAGAAGTGGAAGCATTGATTCATTCAGCTCAGTTGCTGCTGAGGTGGACAACAAATGTGCGATTGAGTAAGAAAGCGGGAAGAGGGGAGGGGTACAACAAGCGGCGACGTGCTGAGCAGAATCGAAGCGGGGACAGATCGGTCACTTTGAGTCGACCGACTGAATCATCCGCTCAGCTGAGTGGAACAATTCCCGCATTTCGTTTCTACTGGAGGAACGATTCAGTGCCTGTTGTGTTATTCATTTTTTGTGCAACTTGTGCCCAAAAATAAGCGGGTATTAAATTCAGATCAACCGAGTGACAAAGCGAAGCCTTTGATGAACTATTAGATGGTTGTTAAAACCTAAAAAGAGGCATTTTCTTCAGGTTTTGGCTTTCCTGAGATGCCAGCAGCAAAGTTTTGTACCCATTTCTCCAAACGGCAGATCAGTCACGTATAACGAGAAACTAATGTGTCAGTTTAGCATCAAGCTTTACTGCTTAAGTGTCAAAGACACTCAGTCAAAAGGATTCATGTCTCTATGCGTGGTCACTGGAGCTTAGTTTCATTTAGTCTTGGAAGGATTTATGGGATCAAGCCTCTCATTTGGCTCCGTTTTATATAAACAAAACTGGCGCAACTGGCCACATCATTTTGATGTAGATGCCTGGTGTCGTTTCTGACATCTGCTTGCTSTCACTAAGTTCTCACTCATTAGATACCACCACGTGCGTCCCTACATGTCGATTTGTTTTTAAAGGCACAAAACGTTAGAGATTGGTGACAAATGTGTGCTTCTCTTCCAAACCAGACGGACAGTGAGCGGCCAGAGGACGCCAGGCTGATCGAGCTGGACGAGTCCCATCGCAGTGAGCACACGGTCTACGTCAACCCCCCAGAGCTGCCTCCTCTGCCTCAGGGAGAAGAGCATCCACTGTGCTATAGGTATTACACCTCAGACCCCTCTCTAAAAGACAGGCCAACTGCTTCTTTTGCTCTGCTTTACTTGAGCACCAAAAAGAGACGCTTATTAGAAATTCCTTTTGTTTTCGAAGGCTTTGTCCCTGCTGCAGGGCTTTTTGATCATTTAGAGCTGGGACACGTGGCACTTAGGTGCACGTTGGTGCTGCAGCTTCCAGAGTTTCAGAGAGAAAGCTTATTGAGTATCTGTTTTATTTTGCAGCTATTCTGGGTTCCCTGTGCTGCGCTCTGAGCTCCTGGAGCCACTGGAAGGACCTAATCCTCTGTCAACAGGGATTGCTTCACGCCACAGCAGCCCAGCCAGTCCTACGGCCATCTTTAGACGCTCTAAACAGGTCAGCCGTACAAGCAGAGACATTTCTTTGACATTTTAGTAAAACCTTTTTGCAAATATGTACATTTCCTTGTAAAGAATGATGGAAATTTTAGCAAACATGAATACATTTAAGCATATCTGCCTTTTCTAACATCAAACATGATGACATAAAGGAGTGGCAACAAATCATTTTTCTGCCTCTCTATAGGAGATCAAATCAGCTCAGAAGATGGCCAAAACCTATTCTTCCATGCCTCAGATGTGGTCCAAGTGTCTGCTTCGACACTGCTATGGCTTGTGGTTCATCTGCTTGCCAGCACTTGTCAGTAGCTGCCACTCCAAGGTGCGAGCTCTGCGCACAGCCTATGATGTGCTGAGGAAGATGCAGGACAAGAAGCTGCAGGCGCCGGATGAGGTACGAAACGATTTCTACGAAGGATGCTGCAACATCTCGAGAAAGTGAATGCATTGTGAGTTTATTTTATTTTATTTTCCCTGTCCAAGGTGTGTTACCGTGTTCTGCTGCAGCTGTGTGGTCAGTACAGCCAGCCGGTCTTGGCTGTCAGGGTGTTGTTTGAGATGAAGAAGGCAGGAGTTCAGCCCAATGCAATAACATACGGCTGCTACAACAAGGTGTGTTAGTGCAAACAGTACTGCCAAATCTGACTCGAAGTTCAGCAGGTTTTCAATTCAAAATGTGTTCTGCTTTTAAGGCGGTGCTGGAGAGCACGTGGCCCTCCACCACCAGAGGAGGCTACTTCCTGTGGGGGAAACTGAGGAACGTGATCCTCGGGGTTCTCCAGTTCAAGCAGGCAGGGAGGAAACAGCAGACTCCTCACAGAGACCCCCAACTCTCAGGTGACAACATTTAATCTAATCTAGCTTTTTATAAACCTGTTAAGAAAATCTCTTATCTCTTATCTTATTGCATGCCCCTTTCCTTTCCTTTCCTTTCCTTTCCTTTCCTTTCCTTTCCTTTCCTTTCCTTTCCTTTCCTTTCCTTTCCTTTCCTTTCCTTTCCTTTCCTTTCC